GTTTTTTTTCCCCCCCCCCCCCCCCCCCCCCCCCCCGACCCTTCAGCCAAAATGTGCCACTGATCGCTTTCCTCACAAGCTTCTCTTCATGCCTAGGATAGTATTTTTGCTCTTCAGTCAGGGTTCCTTCTCATTGATCTTTGCAGCTTTGATCTCCGCGACGAGCCTCTCATACCTGTCTATCGGGAACACTGGGTTGTTGGGAAACTTGGCCTTCTCGTAGAGCTCCAACAATCACTGAACTGGGCCTCTGTGCCCATTATCACGGATTTGAAGGCGGATTAATCAGACGGAAACCACAAGAGCTGTTGAAGAACGAGAACGTTCACTCTCACTTGTATCGCACTGAACAAGGTGAGAGAATATGACTGTTGGTGAAAGCGAAAGGATGAAGGCACCCCCTTATAGTTTTCCTCAAGTCCAGGCGCACTACTTGTATTCTTGATTTTTAAAAATCGTGTAACTGTGTATCTTTAGGAGTCTAGATATCCCTCCTGAACTTGCACAAAAGTTCATCGCGTGGGTTAACTTGCAGAAGAAATAATGCATGTAAGTTAACATGCATGAGGAAAATCAGATGAGCTCAAGTTGCGCGGTAAGTTTTATGCACTGGAGATTAGGAGGTCGATTAATTTCGACTAGTTTCTTAAAATCGCGATTAATACCTTAATCGATTAATCTGATAAAATTGACAGTCCCACTAAGAAGCAACATGGTCAAGAGCTCATAAACAACAATCATGTGAAGCTGGATAAAAAATAGAGCCAAAAACTTACTTAATCCTGCTGGCAGGAACAAAGCCAATTCAGGAGTTTTGACCTTGCTGCTCAATACCTGAACAGATTCATGCTTTCAGCTGTTCCACAACCACTTCAAAACTGGAATCACTGCAGCAAAGCACTGAACTATCCATCTCTTTGCAGCATGGTTTGCTATATTTGTGATACTGCACATGTGCAAACCATCCTAAATTGTCACCTATCAAATGAAGTTTCTCACATCCTTTTCATATGCCACTTTGGAGATGCTCTTCTCCACTAAAGAACTAAGCATTTTACAAGTAAGACTCCCGAGGCTCCTATGAAATTCATTTTGAATGAGCAGATAGAAGGGCATTCATCCTATGAATAGATGACAAACACAGCCAATCAAGCACCTTAAATGCATATACTTTATAGAAATGCATTGAAAGTCAATGAAAGTGAAGAGAGGGCAATAAGATTGAAGCAGTTAAAAAATTAAGTATATTTGGCATCTACAAGCAAGATCTCCTGATTGTCAAGTAGGCTAATTAAGCCAAGACAGCAAAATTCATAACATTGCCCATAAAATCAGACCTCAGGAGAATAAAAGAAGAAAGAGATTTGAATGATAAAAAGTAGGTCAGGTCACAAGTTGCAGAATGAAAGGAGAATCACATTTGACACAGGGATATATTGCACTTGTGTGAAGAGGGGAGGCTGCTCCTATGTCTCCTGATATTAGCATAAACTGCAAGAGAAAATAACACATCATTCTCCAAGTCATATTTTGATCAAAAGCCCATTTAATATCATAAAGTATTCACACCTATGTCTCGTTTCAGATTCAAATCCAGATATCTAGATTCTCTAGATTCAAAGAAAAGCTTGAACTGAGGTGGGACATTAATTTCTGTGAAAAGTTTTATGTTGTTTTCCCCAGGTAATGATGCAATCCTGATTAGGATTGTCACATGGAAGCATCAAAGACAACATCAACCAAAAAAATTCAATTTGGCCTCATTAGATGAGATTATATATGTAGTGTTTGTGGATTGCAAGGGTGTCCTTGTGGCCATGCCAAAAGGGCCAATGGTCACTGAGAAGGTTTAACTAGAAATCAATTTAAGAAGCTCCTACCAGGAACTGGAACCTGGCATTATGCATGCATTTTCTGAAAAAAAAGGCATAAAACAGCTGCCCCTGTGACTCCTGCTTGCAAGACATAACCATTCTACTCTGCTCAAAGTATGCATATGGTTCAGCTCTGGGATTAATTGCTGAATTAAATATATCAAAACAAGTTCTCTGCAGGAGCCCTTCAGATTGGATGATGAAATGTAAAAAGTGTGTAATGAACAATGAAAATTATATTGACAAAATAAGAACCATACATTTCTTTGTTTTTTACATTGAAATGGAGCAAATGCACTTTTCAATTAGTACCTTTCTAATTGTACCTTATATTTCTATCATTAGACAGGAGGTTTAACCCCTCAAAGGTTTGGTGAACAGATATTATGTGTAACCAATCTTGACTCCTACAAAATTTAACAAAGTTACCTGGCATGATAAGAACACTCATTTCTTGATGGAATGAATAGTTGTCTTGATGATCTTGATGCAGTCATACATTTGGTCTTCAGTCATCACCAAAGGAGGTGCAAACCGAATTATGTCTCCATGTGTGACTTTGGCCAACAATCCATTGTCTCGTAGTTTCAGACACACGTCCCAGGCATTGTATTCTGCATGAGGCAGATCAATAAAATTTCACAAAGAAGAAGAACATTTAGACATTTGGAAGAAATGAGAACAACATGCTATTAGGCACTAAAAGAAACAAAGTATAAAATCTTACTGCTATCAATGACAATGGCAGCAAGTAACCCCTTTCCCCGTACTGTATGTACGATGTCTTTAGGCAGAGTATTGAGCTCTTTCATGAGCAGGTTGCCCAACTTTTCTGCATTTTCTGCAAGTCTTTCCTCCTGAATTACTTCCAGTGCTGCAATGGCAACTTTGCATCCCAAAGGATTTCCTCCATATGTAGATCCATGCTGTCCTGGTAAGATTGTCAGCATAATGGAATCATCTGCCAACACAGCTGATACCTGAAATCAGGAAAGACAAAACCCTGAAGGCCCACCAATATCATTATGGTTTTAGGAAATATTCTCCATCTACTCACAGGAAAAAGACCACCACTGAGAGCTTTGCCAAGGATCAATATATCTGGTCTGATACCTTCATGATCCACACACAACATTTTTCCTGTCCTTCCCAGGCCAGTTTGAACTTCATCCACAATGAGAAGAACATTGTATTTAGAGCACAGTTGTCGAACTCCTCTCAGGTAGCCTTCATCTGGCACTACCACACCTGCTTCCCCTTGAATGGGTTCTACCATAAATGCACAGATATTTGGATCCTGCAATGCTTTCTGAAACGGAAATCACAGGACATAATTGTCTTTCACAGGTGGTCAGACTGGAGAAATGAAAGGATCCATTGTTTTTCTATTTGACTGAAGGTTTACCCGGTTTAGTAATATACCCTGTTATAGTTTCAATCCGTACATACCTGGTTTAGGACTTATCGAAAGACCTAGTCAACTTCTACTCTACCGTCTGTAAGTTCGTCCCCAGAAATTGCCCTCCACAAACACAATCCTAGCCTTGTTTTCAGGAATTTTCTTCACATGATAACCCCATCTTCTAGCCAATTTGCAAGCTGTTTCTCCTCCCTCCACACCTGAGAATGCATTTGAGGAATATTAAATGCTGAGGTAACATATGCAGATCGGTAAGATCATTTGCCAGTGGAACGAACCTGACAAGTACCCCTCTTGGAATAGTATAGGTTTATCAAAACACTACATGAGGTGTATAAGAGGTTCCTGTAACAACATCTTTCGAGGTCTTCATTATCGGTTCTGAAGTGAGACAAAAACATCTCGACGAACAATCTTTGGATGGCTGTGGCCTTGATTAACTGCAGCATATGCACTTAGGAAGTCATAATATTTCTTGCCTTCAACATCCCACACATGCACACCTATGAAAATAACATGATTTTGAATTGAAAGAGCCATACAGATAAATACATAAGAGAGTATGAGACTTGATAGCTAAACTTTCATCAAAGTTTGGAACCTAAAAAGATTAATCTATCATTTTGTGTTCACAATATTGTAAACCTTTTTTCAAGATCTTTCATGTGTTTTTACTCTTTCAGAGAAAATACTATTTTTAATATACAAAAATTTGGAAGTAAAAATGGTCTGGATAATCAATAGCCACTTCAGCACCAGGGATGAACTATTATATTTAGCTCCATAAAAATGATAGATCCAACAATCATTGAATGTTGAAGATTTGTCCGGGTGAAGATGAGGGGTCTTCAACTCTCTTACGGAAGGAAGATGTTATTACCTTGTTCCATGTTGGCTTTTAGCTGGACAACTAGTGTTCATCCATAATGGAGTGACAGTGTGAACTTATAAGAAAACCAATGTAAATATATCCATCTGGGCTATATTTGAAAGGCACATATAATTGTGGGATAAAATTCATTTAAATTATTGCTACGGTATTCGGCACCTATTGCCCACACATCCATGTAACTTCAATACTGATCCCTCCTTGAGTCCATGGTTTTCTGGAGATCCAGTATGTCACATTTTTCAATTGTTGGGACACTTCTATTTCTGATGTTTCTCCTTCTCAGTCTCCTTTTATAACTACCTAAAGCAGGAGAGACATTACAAGAGTTAATTGTTGTTTTGGCTATAATATTCTTAATTATTCAGGTGTGGACAGAATATCCAACTTTGCCTTAGTCCTGCATTGAATATTCTGGACTCCAGGATTAAAGAGGTTAGGTCTGTCAAGGGCAGAGTTCTGCAAATATGTATAGACCAGCGGTGGTCAAACCTAATGACATTATGAGCTGCATAGCAAAATATTCAGGTGGTGGAGAACCACAAGACACATGCCACTTCACACACATTCTCTGGTGCCAACCTCATAATTTCACAAGATTCACATCCTTGTGAGCTACACTTGATCTCATGAGCTGCAGTTTGGCCATCCCTTGTATAGACTTACTCTTAATATGGGTGGGGGATGCAGTTGGAAGGGGCAACTGTCCCCCTATGCCCAGGCTTGAAATCTATTTTAAACATTTAAATTGAATTCATTATCATGCAATTCCATTAATTGTCTTGTGTATTGATCACACACTGGTTCTGGAGGAATGGAATGTCTGCTCACCATCCACATGGAAAGTGTAGGTGAATGTAGATGCATCAACTAGGCTTGGCCTCATCAGTGACAAGAAGCCTTCCCCATTGTAAATGTCAGGAATTTTAGAGGGGAAATAAGAACTATCCTGCTTCATCCTGGTGTAAAGTTTTCCTGCAAAACTGGCAGCTTCATACATAGACATGATCTGCTTTCTGTCATGCTCCTTGTTCAGATATACCTTAGGATTTTTCTGCCATCTACAGATAACTACCTGAATCCTATAGAAACTTACCACTGCTACTGCAAGTGTTGCATTAATGAGGAGTACTGAATGGTACAGGTTTCTGTTATTTGGTGGACCAAAAATATTCCTATGCTAATTCTTGGGGTTATGGTTAAGTGCTTATCCTCTAGGGATATTGTGTTGTACCTAAAGTTAGATCTGGTTTGGTTAAGTTGGTGTATATTATAGATAAAAGAAATCCCAATGGACGTGGCATGTTTCCAGTTAAACTCATCTAGAAACATTGAATACTGGGGGATTGCAATTTCTCTACAGGGTACGCACTTAACAGTTACCAATTCTTTGTAAGCCTAATAAATTCTGATGACAGGACGGTGAAAATTCATGAAATATCCAAACACAATAAGTGCTGAGATCTGTTCTATGAGTGTGCAAAAGACTTTTATTATTGTGTAAATATTTGTTTAGACCCTTAGCCTAAGATGGATACCCGGATGATTGGGGGGTGAGAGGGGCGTAAATCACCTAGTAGTCAGAGAGAAATGGGTGAGGGGGGCGTAAATCACCTAGTAGTCACAGAGAAATTAAGCTTGTTCATGGGGAGAACCTTATCATATCCAAATAGTTTTGTGATGTACTCCACATATTCTCCAAGGACATTGTTGTAGAAAGCTCCAGAAGTAATAGCCAAGACTTCACTCTGTTTTTGTAGAGCTGCGACAATCTTTGGATGGCTGTGGCCTTGATTAACTGCAGCATATGCACTTAGGAAGTCATAATATTTCTTGCCTTCAACATCCCACACATGCACACCTGTGAAAATAACATGATTTTGAATTGAAAGAGCCATATAGATAAATACATAAGAAAGTATGAGACTTGATAGCTAAACTTTCATCAAAGTTTGGAACCTAAAAAGATTAATCTATCATTTTGTGTTCACAATATTGTAAACCTTTTTTCAAGATCTTTTAGGTGTTTTTACTCTTTCAGAGAAAATACTATTTTCTTTTTATATTTTAATATACAAAAATTTGGAAGTAATAATGGTCCGGATAATCAATAGCCACTACAGCACCAGGGATGAACTATTATATTTAGCTCCATAAAAATGATAGATCCAACAATCATTGAATGTTGAAGATTTGTCCGGGTGAAGATGAGGGGTCTTCAACTCTCTTACGGAAGGAAGATGTTATATGCTTTGGACCCCATTGTCCTCTTCTTACAAGATGCTCTATTCTAAAGGATTACCAATTGCCCAAAAGCAAAAATTGTTTTAGAGGTACAGTAATGAAAATGTCACTGGGTCTACTAGGGTGAATGCAATACTGTTATGTATTAAAAATGACAACATCCTGAATATACCATTATGAGAGTTTAAAAAATACCAAATAGAGAAGGGATGGAAAAAAACAAAATAAATTCTGCATTTGAATGTCTTGTCTATCCCCTTAAATCAGGTACATTGAACAATCTATGATACTCCATCCAATACTCACCTTTGCCCTTGGCTAAAGCAACTGGGATTGGCTTGAAGTTATGAGCTCCATATTTGGCAACTCTGTCAAAAACCTGCTGAGAAGTGATCTTGCGAACTGAAATATATGGAAGACAGTTTTCTAGATGGCAACTGAAAGCCTTCAATGCAACTTGGGATGAACCAGTCAAGCATCTACTGATATTCATTCTAGTCTTTGCAGAAATATTTAGTCTTGCTGACTCCTTACTACTTGATATGTATGAGATGAATGATCTGCAAAAAAAGGACAGGTAAAACCCAATCAAAAATTTACTGGATCTGAAAGCCTGAACCAGTATGGTTTTCTATCATGGTTCCAGCTTGTGAACTCAGGTGGTTTCATACTGAAATCACCTGTACACATAGACCTTGTTCCATGTTGGCTTTTAGCTGGACAACTAGTGTTCATCCATAATGGAGTGACAGTGTGAACTTATAAGAAAACCAATGTAAATATATCCATCTGGGCTATATTTGAAAGGCACATATAATTCGGGGATAAAATTCATTTAAATTATTGCTACGGTATTCGGCACCTATCCATGTAACTTCAAACATATCTATGTAACTTCAATACTGATCCCTCCTTGAGTCCATGTTTTTCTGGAGATCCAGTACGTCACATTTTTCAATTGTTGGGACACTTATATTTCTGATGTTTCTCCTTCTCAGTCTCCTTTTATAACTACCTAAAGCAGGAGAGACATTACATGAGTTAATTGTTGTTTTGGCTATAATATTCTTAATTATTCAGGTGTCCCACTAAGTGGACAGAATATCCAACTTTGCCTTAGTCCTGCATTGGATATTCTGGACTCCAGGATTAAAGAGGTTAGGTCTGTCAAGGGCAGAGTTCTGCAAATATGTATAGACCAGCGGTGGTCAAACCTAATGACATTATGAGCTGCATAGCAAAATATTCAGGTGGTGGAGAACCACTTCACACACATTCTCTGGTGCCAACTTGATCTGCCTGGAAGCTGTACGTGTCTCATGAGCTGCAGTTTGGCCATCCCTTGTATAGACTTACTCTTAATATGGGTGGGGGATGCAGTTGGAAGGGGCAACTGTCCCCCTATGCCCAGGCTTGAAATCTATTTTAAACATTTAAATTGAATTCATTATCATGCAATTCCATTAATTGTCTTGTGTATTGATCACACACTGGTTCTGGAGGAATGGAATGTCTGCTCACCATCCACATGGAAAGTGTAGGTGAATGTAGATGCATCAACTAGGATTTCCCTTGGCCTCATCAGTGACAAGAAGCCTTCCCCATTGTAAATGTCAGGAATTTTAGAGGGGAAAAAAAGAGCTATCCTGCTTCATCCTGGTGTAAAGTTTTCCTGCAAAACTGGCAGCTTCATACATAGACATGATCTGCTTTCTGTCATGCTCCTTGTTCAGATATACCTTAGGATTTGTCTGCCATCTACAGATAACTACCTGAATCCTATAGAAACTTACCACTGCTACTACAAGTGTTGCATTAATGAGGAGTACTGAATGGTACAGGTTTCTGTTATTTAGTGGACCAAAAATATTCCTATGCTAATTCTTGGGGTTATTGTTAAGTGCTTATCCTCTAGGGATATTGTGTTGTGCCTAAAGTTAGATCTGGTTTGGTTAAGATGGTGTATATTATAGATAAAAGAAATCCCAATGGACGTGGCATGTTTCCAGTTAAACTCATCTAGAAACATTGAATACTGGGGGATTGCAATTTCTCTACGGGGTACGCACTTAACAGTTACCAATTCTTGGTAAGCCTAATAAATTCTGATGACAGGACGGTGAAAATTCATGAAATATCCAAACACAATAAGTGCTGAGATCTGTTCCATGAGTGTGCAAAAGACTTGTATTATTGTGTAAATATTTCTTTAGACCCTTAGCCTAAGATGGATACCCGGATGATTGGGGGGTGAGAGGGGCGTAAATCACCTAGTAGTCAGAGAGAAATGGGTGAGGGGGGCGTAAATCACCTAGTAGTCACAGAGAAATTAAGCCAGCAGTAATGAAAACTTAGGCTTAGCACTAATCGTACAAATAGTACGCGCAATTCTCACTGTATAGTAATAAATCTCTTATTCAAAAGTGTTTCCAAACAATAAGAGTTCGATGAACTCGCTCTGCCTCCACATTCATTGAGTGCGCGTCCAAGCACAGGGTGAAAGGGTACACCGAGGTACACAGCAGGATTGGAGGGCTTGCAGTGAGGACGATAGCTTGTTGGTCGCTCTTCCTTCCACTCTAAACCGGCTTTCAAGGTTAGGGGACGGGGGCAACGGAAGGCAATTTTAAAAGTATCCGTCATTAAAATCTGAATTTTAACATCCACGTTTTCCCATATTGAAGCCTTTATTATTGGCAACACAATCATTTGAATAGTTATTCCTCGTGACATTCCCTTTGCCCAACTCTAAACCCGCAGCGGTGAGATACCAAGAGAGAAGACGTGCTTACGTATTTCCACATTCCTCCACGCGTCCCGTGCGTCTTTTCTACAGATTTCTGGACAATTGTATTTTGATGGCATTATTCGATACGTCTTCATTGGAGCGGAAATCATATTTTAATATCAAGGGAAGCTGGTGAACTCCTCCCAATGATCCGCATAAACCATTCAAAGAGGGCGAATCTGACACTTGAAGAAAAACATGCGCTGAAGAGGCTTGGGATCCGAGAGGGGCTCAGGAAACAGCGGCTGTTTTCCCTCTCAGTATGGCAAGTTGCCGCACTCGGAATGTTGAAGTTCTCTGTAAATCAACTAAGTTATCTAATTTAATACCTCCCCAATCTCAAATCCGGCGCATTTCCGCTGAATGCGGCCATGAAACGATAGGATTTCCGCTACTCTTCACAAGCTGGAGCTGCACCATTTCCATTTAGATCGCCCGTACAGTCCCGCAAGAAAAATTTGCGCCGATTCTAGGTTAAGTTTCGCGAATTTCAAGTTTTGCGATGGACCATCTTATTCACAGACCATTCGATTGCAGTAAGGAAAGAATTTCGCGAGCGATTCAATTTCACTTCTCCGTGTGCTTCACGCAGTTCGCGAAACTAAAACGGGCGTGAAAATTTCACTGCAACCTTGACATATTCATTCCTGCAGAGTACGTTGTCCTTTGAGACCCCGGTTCCAAAAGCGTCCGTTCGTTCAGCGTTAGGGTCGCAGGCTTGTGCAGTCGTTGGGTGAGTTTTGTTGGGACAGTATGACCTTGGGGTCCTTAAGGACGATTCTGGTGGATCCCAAGAGATTTAAATTCGCCCTTTGAACTATTCTTTTGAATTCTGCTTTCCTCTTTCCATAATTTATAATGAGGTGTGTGTCTCGTGAAATCCCAATATTTAATTCCATTTCAAGTTCAGATTCAGATGAGTGTGACGTCTTTAAACTTTTCCTTCGGCAACGGGAGAACTCGGAACTAGAATGCCTAAATCGGTGCGGAAATGAAATTCACATGTTTCGACTTATTTCTGTTTCGAGGAGCGGATCGGGATGAAAGAAAATTATCTGCCCCCCCCCCCAAAAAAAAATATCAATTTTGAATAAGGCAATTTGAGAAGCAAAGAAGCCTTGGAAGAAGGTTCTTCTAAATTCGTAGCGAAGAATTGTGTTGTACAACGTTTAAACCGGATTAACAGTGATCGAATTTGGATTGAACGGTGATTGAACCGAGTTTGGTTGAATGCGCTTGAATAAGTGTCGAAAATTTAATGATTAAAATCTTCAATTAGCAATAGCTTTCAGCAATGCAGTTCTGCTCCTGCATTCGCATCTCTTCCTTATCATTCCCTGCCACCAACAGCTCACTGAAATGAAAAATCCGGTCGCTTGACTTCGGTCCCTGCCTGTGAGAGGAAATCGACCCCGGCTAACGACCGCTTGAAAGGTATCGTCTCGTTCAGTCACTGTTTTTTCTGCCGGGGTCGCCGAGGTCGGCAGTCGTGCGGTGCGTGATGAGATGACATGATGCCATGGGTCGAAGGGGAAGTTCAAGGGCGAACTACTGGAAACGCTGGAGGAGTAACTGCAAACCCAAGGACCTTCGTTAAAAGGATTGGGGTGTAGGAGGAGAATATTTCCTCTTCACTCTCTCCATTTCTTATCTAATCTCGGCCGTTCCGCTCGAAACGTCCTTTGTCTTTGCCTGGCGTTGAGGAGAGCGAAAGATGCTTCCCTTCACTGCATGCCGGTCTACTCGGCTCATCAGCAATGCACAAAACAGGCACTTGCAAAAATATCATATGCAAGGCGAATTCGAGGTCAGTATCTGCACGGAGACGACAGTATGATATCAATCGGACGGTCCTCTTACCCACTGTGTGCTAGAATTGGTAAGGCATTTCTAAAAAAAAAAAATTCAGGCTATATTTAGCTTTTCAATCTATATTTAGCTAACATTCTATATTTAGCTTTTATTTTTAAATGATAGAGTGGAAGCTTGTGCCTTGCTCACTCCGTTCTCCATTTCCAGTTATTTTTTATTCCTGCCACTCTTCATCTCTTTTTTCCCTGCCCTCTTCCTGGTTTCCTTAACCTTATTTCCCACTCGTCCTCCCACCTTTCTCCCCACGTGTCGTCCAACCTTTCTTACCATTTTCTTATTTCAACATTTTTTTTTTTACTTTTGGAAAAATAACGGAAGAGCGCAATGGTCACACTGCACTTCTCCCATCGAGGAACAGATCAACGCAGCGAATAACATCTATCGAGCTTAGTCGCTGAAAAGCCTGATACAAGAAATCTCTAGGAGACTTCTTATATCAGGAATTTCGCCGCACTCGACACGGCATTCCATGGGTACCACGTATATGTAACTTGATGATGCAATTGCAATTGATGCCTTTAAATATGCTAACTTCTATCCCATTTTATTCTCTGCGAACTTCGTTTTCTTAGTCACCATCATCATCATAATCACCATCACCATCACCAGCATAGTCATCATCATCATCATAATCATCATAATCATCAACTGCTTTTTCCTCTTCCTCTCCTTCTTCCTCTCTTTCATCTTCCTCTTCTTCTTTATCTTCCTCTCCTTCTTCCTCCTCTTCTCCTTCTTCCTCCTCTTCTCCTTCTTCCTCTTCCTCTTCTCCTTTATCTTCCTCTTCTCCTTTATCTTCCTCTCCTTCCTCATCTTCTTCTCCATCATTATAATTACCATCACCATCATAATCACCATCATCATCATAATCACCATCATCATCATAATCACCATCATCATCATAATCACCATCATCATCATAATCACCATCATCATCATAATCACCATCACCATCACCATAATAATAATAACCATCACCAGCGTAGTCATCATAATCATCAACTTCTTCTTCCTCTTCCTCTCCTTCTTCCTCTTCCTCTCCTTCTTCCTCTTCCTCTCCTTCCTCTTCCTCTCCTTCTTCCTCTTCCTCTTCCCCCTCTTCTTCTTCTCCTTCTTCCTTTTCTTTCTCATCTTCCTCGCCATTTTCTCTTCCATCTTCTTCATCTTCTTCCTCTTTTCCTTCTACATCTTCTTTCTCTTCCCCTTCTTTTTCCACATCATTTGCCTCTTCATCTACTGATATATCTATTTTAACTGCTCCTTCAGTTTTTACACCACCATATCCACATTCTCTCCCATGTATGCTTCCACGTTTCCTCCCTCTTTCTTTTACACCCGAGTTTCTAATTTTTCCCTCACTTTTCTCATCGCCAGTCTCCCCACTCGCTTTAGTGTCTCCTTTCTGACTGTTCTTCTTACGCGTCTGCTGGGTTCTATTTCTCGACATTTTTCCTTCAAGCGCATCAGAGAATGAGAGCACGGTTCACGCTCCACATGATCACCGGGGAAGAGACGCAAGGCACTGGACTCACCTCGAGGAAGACTCTGAGCTCGGGGAGGCAGACTCGAAGTTCCCTTCGATGCGACGCCGCGAGGCTGAAAATATAGCAAGTGTTCGTTCGATTCGGCGATCAGCAAGAGTGGCTGCAAAAAATACTTACGTTTCTTGCGGCGTCTTCGGGAACCTCGTTTTTCTTCATTTTTCATCGATTCGGGAACTGACCTCAGACGAGTGGAAACAACGATGAGGACCAGCGAGATTCGTGCTTGTCATGATGTCGCCTTCGTGGCAAGTTGAAAGGATCGCTGTGTAGGGCGAGAATCTGTCACATCTCCTCCTCCCTATCTAATCTCGGCAGCTTGCTTGGAACGTGCCCTGTGATTGTCATGTCATGCCGGTCCATTCGACTCCTAGGCCATGCACACACAGGCTATTAAGGGGACTCAGAATCCTACCTGACAAGCAGAGCCAGGGCCTCGTCGTTTCGTAGTTGCCAGAGTGTCTCCCCCCCCCCCTCAAACTCGCCGGCTTTGTGGTGTTTTGTGAATGCCGGGAGTGAAGCCGGACTTGAGCATGAAGTCCGGGAAGCCCATCCTCTTACTGCGCTCTAAATCAATTTGGATTCAGGCTCAGAATAAATTTAATTAAATGTATTCTGATCCTACGCATTGGATCGACCCTAATGATTGCAACTAAGCTGTTTTCCTTCGTTTCACTGACTTTGACAGAAAAGGTGGGCGATTGCTACCAATTGCTTTTCCTAGATTCATTCCCTTCCGGTTTATAGACTAAAAAAAGACTCCGGAAACGGTCGCAATCAGTGACTCGTTCGAACAATATCTTAATTTTTCAGAGCGAAAATTCGACCCCCAGGAAATAGGCCTCAGTATTTTTTTCCACTTGGTTGAAATTCGCCTTTCCGTGAAAACGGAAAATGAATCACCCTATTCATGACCAATTGGGCATGTCGACTGCGCAGTGGCGTGCTCAAGGGGGGGGGGGGGGTTGGAGGTCATTATCGGTTATTGGCCCTTGGGGCCAATTTTACAGGTTCGATTCTCAAAAATTTTTTAATTTGTGAGAATCGAACCTGTAAAGGTAAAGTGGTACTGCTCTGCAATCACTAGAAGTATCACGACGAGTTTGTTACTACACAGACTTAAGACATGCACTGACAGGTTGCAGCTATCGCCAGTAACCCAGTGTTGCCACACGCATTACAGTGTTGTCAGTCTCGTTATTTTATTGTCACACCTCGTACATCCCGCGAAAAAAAATTTTCGTTTCGATTTTGTCTTCAGACATGGCAAGCGAAAGATGCCTTGACGGATGGTATCGCCTGACTTCCTCCAGATCTTGTTCACACGGGCCTGGGACCCTGGACCAGGGTCGGATCCTAATGACCAAGCAATTGAGGCTTTAAGTGTGACAGAAATTTTCCCTATGCTGCGTATGGATTCTGGAGCCGTCATGAGACCATGATAGGAAGATTTTCTAAGAGGCTGTGTATGCTCTCCAATGTTTCATTGGACTTGCTGCAGCCCAATTCGAACTTTGAACTGTAATTATCAATCATTTTCTGGCAATGGCAAAATATCTTCAAATCTCTCCCTCCAAGATGGCTCGTCCCGCTCCAAGATGGCTTCTCTCCTCAGGGGTTGACCTGCATGATTCCCACTCAGTGCAAACGAAGCACCGCGTCGACCCCCATAAATGAAGCACCAATTCCCTCCGAGTAATTCCTACTTTTTATTTGTTTCTCCATAAATGAAGGATAAAAAATAGAGAGAAGGCAGTGTTAAAAATAGGCATCGTATCATGCGACACGAGGATGGCAGTGGTTGATCAATGTACAAGAACGGCGAGGAACGTGTACGCGATGGTGCCTCCGGGTCTTCGCACTCCCGGGGAATTGTGCAGAAAAAATTTTGCGCTGTTTTCGTGCAGAAATTTTGTCTCACCGGAAACCCGAGCCAAAAGACACTGATCACAGGGAGTTCGAGGGGGGAATTCAGTAGAAGCAGGCCTGGCCCACCTCCAGCTTGAAGGCCTGGTCGGGGTTGCCGATATCGATGACGCCGATATCGGCGATCGGTAGGCGTTGAGGGTGGTCCGATTCGTAAGTGAACACCGTCTTCGCCCAATCTCCAGAGGAATCCTGGGGAGAATCGTGCAAAAATTAGCATGAAAAGTGCAGACTTTTATAGAAATATGTGAAAGGAATTCCAGAATTTGGCAAAAAAATATTTTTTAATTTACATTCAAAATCACCTACAAAAAAATCTATAATGGAGAAATGAACGCGGTTGCTCCTAAATGAATGAGCATTTCAAAAACGGCAAGGCGACCTGAAGACACGATTGCATGAATTACTCGGTGACAAATCGACGTTTTCCAAAATCCTCTTGCTCTTTCTACAGCGCGTATGTCGATGAGTGTGCTTCGGAGTTATTTCATTACGATCTGGAGCACTTCGTACCAGAGAATGATGCTGAGGACACCATGGCACATCATTGGTATAACATTGAGAACATTAAATTTCAAACAGCGGGGATGTTAAAAATATCTTAACCGTTACCTTATCCTACTTATTTACCCTTATTTAACACCCCTCCTCTGTCCTCGGTCCAAAAAACGATTACCCGTACCGAGTTAACCCATTTCCACCGATTCTTTTCACCTATTTGTAGAAAATCATGGCGCTCAAAAGATCCCTCAGTGGATTTCACTGAAATCACCCAATATAACGTAACCAAGACCCCCAAACCCTAGAGCACCTAATGACCCGCAAACTCTGAGCACCTAATGATGAGCATACTCTAGGACTCCTACTGAGAAGGAGAGGCGTGGACTGACCTTGCATCCGTCTTCGACCACTTCGTACCTGAACCTCTGCTTCCCCTTGGCATGCAGCTCGAGGTCGTTCCAGGCGAGCAGCGTGGCCGCGAAGCGGAACGTCTTCTTCGCCGCGTCGAAGTACGCCACGCTGTTCTTGCAGTGGTAGGTCAGCTTCTGGTCCGCCTTCGTCGAGAGCAGTTGGAGGAAGGCGATCTGGTTGCTGTCCGCCTTGTAGTGGAACTGCAAGAATAGCGACGTCTTTCCAGATTTTTCCGAGCAAGGAATGCAGTCACTTCATATTTTTCTCAATTCCATATATTTTTTCTACGATGAATTGTTTTAACTAGTCACTTTTTTGGAATGGTTTTTGGAAGTCCAGTAGTGTGCTTTGTTTGCTATCTCTCATCTAGAAACAAATCCTATCTGCCGATTCTGGACCTCCTGCTGGAATTACTTAAATTGGATAAATATTTTAATATGATTTAAATACAAAATAACTAGTTAAACCAAATTTATTTCTGTATAGAACCGGGCATCTTACGGCTCCTCCGTCGGCGAGTTCCTCGTTGAGCCAGTGCGTGTCCACCTTCGGCTTCTTGCCCTGGGTCTTGTCGACGTTGACGATCTCCCCCGTGACCTTCGGGGTGGCCAGGAGGCACGTGGCCTTCCTGTCCATGTCGCAGTGGACCATGATGGCGTCCTTGGCGCTGCCTTGGTTCGGGTCGATCCAGTACTCGCCTATTGCACGCGAAGGGAACGAAATCATTTCATTCGGTTTCATTCAACAAAATTCAACTAAATTTAACTCCATTGACCTTATTCGAGATGATTCGTTTTGCTCGCGGTTTTGAAAAATTTCCGGCCAAAGCGGGTTTCATCTTATCATTTATTGAACCTCCTATTTTATAATTATTTACATGCAACTTTATTTTTAATTATTCAATGTTATATATACTTGATTTAAAAAAAAATACATTGCAAAACGACATAAACTTGCGCATAGCTTAATTTTTTAATATTAAGCAGTGTTTATGTTTAGTACATATAGAGTGAACATAAGCACTGCTTAATATAAAAAATCAAGCAGTGCTTATATTTAGTACACACAGAGTGAACACGGGAAACAAGGAAGCCTCGGTCACCGGATGGCTTGTCGGGGTAAGCGGCCTTGAGGTCCCTGCAGGTCTTGGCCGGGGCCTCCTTCGTCCCGTCGGGCTTCTTCAGCCGGCTGAAGCTGTCCTTCAGCTGCTCGTAGGCCTTGAAGATCAGCTGTTTCTTCTCCTCCAGCGGGGTGTCCTCGGCGAAGATCCGGGCGGGCTCGTCGCCGCTGTACGGGTCGGGGCCCTGATTCGAAGGGGGAAGCAATTTAAATTTTTATTTATTTTAATATATCAATTATAAGATATATTCTTCAATTTCATGGTTCGAGGAGATTATTTGCATTTGCTAAAAAAAATGTTACCGCTGTAATGGAAAAATATCGTTATGGTAATTTAAAATTCAATCGCAAGGTCATTTATGCTTATGTTCTCGTTTAAATGTACATTAATTTAGTAATTTAATTCTGCATTTAAAACTTGATATTAAAGTACGATCTGACATCCCAAACTTGAATTTGTTTCCCAGTTAGCGGTAATATTTTTTGGACCATCCTGTATATTATGTGAATATTTCACTTGATGGCAAAAGGTACAAGAGTTAATGTTGACATGAATTATTTTCAGCAGGACGAAGCATCATCGAAAGTTGTTCTCGATTGGTTTCCCAGAGTTGTGGAAGCACAGACCTTGGTTTGACCTTGACCGAGAAGGGCAGCCAGAGCCGCAGCGTCGTATCCGAACCCTTCGCCCGGCGGACCCGGTGGACCCGGTGGTCCGCTTGGGCCCGGCACGCCGGACGACCCTGAGTCTCCCGGCGACCCGCGCGGCCCCGGCGGACCCATCAAGCCCGGCGGCCCCATCGACCCGTCCTGACCCGGCGGCCCTGCGCAAGACACGAATGAGCCGCCCAGCGTCTCAAAAAGAACAAACTCGAGTCGGGTGGCATCGAGCGCTTACCGCGAGGACCAGCTTCGCCATCTTTTCCAGTTGGTCCCATTGGACCAGGCAGTCCTCTTTCTCCTTGCGGACCCTGTAAAAGAGAAAACGTAGTACATGTAAAAAATAATTGCATAAAAATAATAATATCAACATAAATATATAGTAAATTAGATAATACAAAATTATAATCTTCATATAATTAAAACAAAGAAGCCAAATGCCTGAAATGGAAAAATAAAAATGCTTATAATTGCTGGGGAATAAAAAAAGGGAAATATATTACTTTTAGACGGATGGAGAAGTTTGATATTAAAATATTGCATTGTCTTTTCATTTGAATAATTTTACTAATGAGAAATTGCATTCGATGGATGAAATCCTGGACAGATGAAGCAGACTAACCATGTTGCCTCTTGAATTTTTATATTTTACACAACTTGCAAATTAAAAATGTAATAATTAAAAGAGGAAAAAATTAGTCATTTTGATTGAAGATGAAGTAAATAAAATAAATAATTCAATTAAAGAAAAATCTTTCCCAGAAACGTCACCTTTTGTCCAGGTAATCCTTGAAGCCCGATGAGCCCTTGGTGTCCCTTGTCTCCCTTTTGACCGGTGGAGCCCATGTCGCCCTTGAGGCCCTGCGGGCCCGGAGCCCCTGGACTTCCCCGCGGCCCGATGGGTCCTCCCACGCCCGGCGGCCCTGCCTCGCCCTGCGGCCCTCGTTCTCCGGTCGACCCCGGCGCACCTTGCGGCCCCGGCGCACCCTGAGCACCCTCAAACCGTCACCAACGGATCGCCGAAACGCAGAAAGATGTGAGAATCTCCTGACCTGAAGCCCCATCGGCCCGGTCGGCCCTGGGTCGCCGGCCGGTCCAGGCGGTCCCTTGTCCCCTGGTCGTCCGGAGATCCCATGCGGTCCCATCTTTCCTTCCGGTCCATCCGATCCCCTCTCCCCAGGCGGACCGGGCGGTCCCATCGGTCCCAGTAGACCCGGATCTCCCTTCGGCCCTTCGCTCCCTGGCCTCCCTGGCGGCCCTGGCTCTCCCTGCAAAAATCCAGGATTTCAATCGCTTCTGAGTCACCAAGGCGTGATTCAAGGCTTTCACTCATTTCTGCTATTGTATTTTGCGACTAATATTTGCATCGATTTTTACTTTTCCTGCAGCATTGTTTAATATTAATATTAATATTAATATTAATATTAATATAAACAAGATATTGTTAATATCTTGTTAATATTACAGAGGGAAAACATCTACGATTGTTAGCTTTACCCACTGGCTATACAGGAGTCCAGCAACGCTTCCGAGTTCTTCATGGTCATCGCTTGGTCTCATATTGGAAGGAATTTGGCAATATCATATTGACAATTACCTGCGCATATCCCAATTGATCAATTCTTCTCAATTAAAAAACCTCGGAATTGCTCGTATAAAGAATAAATAAATTCCATTATGAAAGAATGGTGCACGCCTTTCTGTTAACAGAATAAAATAGTTTAAAAATTATTTAAGAAATTGGGCCCGAGAATGAACATGACTCACGGCTGATCCTCTTGCGCCTGCCATCCCCTGCGGCCCGGGCGACCCAGGCAGGCCTGGCAGGCCCCGGTCTCCCGGAGGGCCCTGCGGCCCCGGTCGCCCACCCGGTCCGATCGGCCCTTCCGACCCTTGCTCCCCCTTGGGGCCCTCGGGGCCGGGGGTCCCCGGCTGGCCCACGGGACCCGGATTCCCCGTGCGCCCGGTTTCTCCCGGCTGGCCCTTGATCCCCGGCAGGCCCATCGGCCCCGATGGACCCATTGCTCCTTGCAGACCCTGAAGGACAAATTAAAGGACAGAATGTTTTCAAGGCTAATAAATAAAAAGCCATCCGCCGAATTACATATTTATAGGAGATAAAGAAGAAAGGAAAAATGATTTCGTTCCCATACTCTATGACATGGAAAATGAATTTTCCGCCTTATCAAGTAGCAAACTAATACGATATCCTTAATTTTGATACCAAATTTGTTCTAACACTAAAGAATAAGTACGATTTCTCCAATGGAAATGGCAAAATCATCCCAATTTGATCTGATCTTGCTATTTTTTAATTTTAACATTTCAACACCCAATTTACCCTAATGGAATCAAGATTTTGACATTAACAATTGGCATGCAATATTCGGGATTAACAAAGTTAGCATTACAGGCGCTCCGGCTTCTCCTGGCCTCCCAGGCGGCCCAGTGATCCCTTGGGCCCCTAGCGGACCAGGCTCTCCTCGCATGCCCTTGGGACCCGGCAGTCCTGTCAAGCCCTGCACACCTTGTTCGCCTCTTTGACCTGGGGAGAAAATTTGCACAGTTGATGAATTCTGCCGAGGACATAGCCCAATTTCAAGCTGCTCTGAACCAGTAAACATTTTTTTTTAGAAAGCAATTAAAAATGAAAACAAATTTTTAGAAAGTAATTTAAAAACTATATATTTTTAAAATAAATAAAATTAAATGAAAAAATAAAAAACTTCATACTTTTATATGGTGCCAAATTAGATTTATCTGCCAGGCGAAATTCAGGCAAAAGAAGCGGAATTCGCATCATCGACCCTTCGCACGATCGTTGGTGGGATTCAAAATGGAGCTGCTCCCATCTTAAGCCCAATGGATAATCCTATCCACCTATGGATAATCCTCCCAAGGCGTCTTACCAAGATGCCGCAACAGGGTGACATGGCACCCCTGCTTCCTCGCTCCGACGAGTCACCAGAGAATTTTCAAAGGATGCAGGAGGTTTAGCAAAAGATTATTATGGTTTTCTGCCAAATTTAGCAATTTTTTAGCACTTTTTTTAAACCTGAGTTTTAAACATTTAAATATTTGCATCCAGTTCGAACAGCTTTGAAATGATCAGTTCCCAGTGTATTGCTAATTTTGAATGATATATTGGAAATGGGAAAGAGGAAAGTATCATTCGGATTCGGCGGTGAATTCTGCAGAATTTAGAAGTCCTTTCCAGTCCCCGCGAATCCAAGTTTCCTGTAAATCTTGCATTCCTGGAAGCGCAGCAGGCAGCAGGGCCGGCTCTAACTATCAATATTTCGGTGCCCTGTGCAAAGAGACTCCTAACGCAAGCAACGGAAGGCATTTCCACTTTCTTAAGTAAGACTGAAAATGGCATCATTATTGCTTCATTCATTCAGTCACGTTTTGGCGCCCCTGGTGAATTTGCGCTCTGTGCAGGGGCACATGTGGCACATGCCTAAGGCCGGTACTGGCAGGCAGTGCAAGTCCACTGGTAGGGATCCCTCAGGGTGTATGAAGTTACGCAAGGTTCACAAGAGATGTAAAATAAAAATTAAAGCAGGTGGCAGTGGCTGATCCTGCTGGCTGTGGGTAAGGAAGGGGGGGTGGGGGGAGAGTTGGTGGATGGAGGGGGGGGGGGGGCGACTGCTCCGCTGTGAACCATGTGTGCTGTGAACCATTCTTAAAGCATGGCAGACCTTCAGCGGAGATTCATGATACGTTTTTAGTTGAGAACTTTTTCCTTAAATGACCTGTCATGTTAACCCTTTTCACTCGTTTTCACTCACCCTTCTCCCTCCAGGTCCTCCCACGTCTCTGCAAATATCCAATATTCCGAGCAGGCATATGTATGCACTCGCACTCCATGGCAGTGAGTGAGACCGTTGTGTGCTAATCGACGCATGCAGTCTCCAAGAATGCAAACACTTAGTAAATAAGGAATCCTTCCTGTGCCATCCCTAAATCACGTTGGTGCGTGCGAGCGTGCGCGACCTCCCACGCGAGAGGGAGCTAACGCTTCTCCAAGCTACCTCCAATCGAGTCAACCACATATCATTGATTTGAATTCCAAATTCGAATTTCCCTATTCGGCGCCCCTTGCTTGCCTACCTGCCCGCTCGACCCCGGTGTCTCTCCAATGTGCCTGCTATGCAGGCTGCTCATACCTGCATGTCGCCAAAGTCGCACTTTTTTACTCTTCAGATGCGAGTGCACAAAAACTAATTGGCACATTCCTCCAATGCTCATAGGCCCAGGATGTATTTTTAGCGCTCATAACCCTGAAGACATTCTTCACTTAGTCGATTAGCACTGCTGAACGTCATAGAATATTACTTAGCATTACTTTTTCAATTATTACCAAAAACTCTAGAAGTCCTTGATGAAAGAAATCCGCGTCTCGCTTCTGCTGCTAACAGCTGCAAAAATTTTTAGGGCACCATATCTACTGATTTTTTAATCACTCGTTAAAGATAGAAGCTTGAGAACATGCTTGCACTGAGTGTAATTTGGGAAAAAGTCTGAGAGTATGCAAGGGAAAAGAGCAGATATGATACCAGATTGGCCGGTTGCTCCTTGTTCTCCTTTCGGTCCTGGAAGTCCTCGTTGTCCCTTGGTTCCTGGTGTCCCAGGTGCACCCATCGGACCAGGGAAACCCTATGGGGAACACAAAAGCATGAATCACATTCGTGGTCGATGGGGAGGAGGCTGGAAAGGGAGGCTGGAAAAGGAGGCAGCGGCGCACCTGGAGACCTTGAGGTCCGACCGGACCGCGTTCCCCTGGAGGTCCGGGCGCCCCCAATTCCCCGATCGGGCCCGGTGGGCCCGCCTCGCCCTTCTCGGCCGGTTCGCCTGGGGGTCCCGGGGGTCCCATGATGCCTTGCAGACCGCGCTCGCCCTGTCGCCCTGGGGGGCCCTCGGGGCCGATCGGTCCTACAGCGCCTCGTTCACCCTTTGTTCCCGGGATACCTTGAAAAATAAAAATTCCTTGGTGTTGACATCGTGCTCGATCGATGGTGGTTTGCCGAAGAATAACCGGTGATTTTTCGGCGAAATTTCTCGTTAAAAAGGGCGAATACCGACGCGCTTTTCATCAGGGCTAAGTTGAAAGTGTCGGTTCAATGGAACTCCTAATCGACTAAATGAGTCCCGTTTTGTATCAAAAACGGCAATGTTATTAATCGTGAAGAATCCGAAAGACGAATCGAATTACATTTTAAAGGGCTGGTATTAAACGAGGAAACAGCTCTAAGCATGGATATTTATTACTATCCGACGTCTCTTCATTAATGGCTTTTGTTATATTTTTAAGCTAATATTTTTAGCAGTTCAAATTTTGCGAATTTTATATGAAGGATTTCTACAGAGTTGAACCTGCAAAAACACTGAAACTTTAAAACGGGAGGCAAGGTCTTTTCGCCATATTGAATTGAGTGGAATCGATGCAGTTGGAAGCAATGACTTTGGAAGAATGTTTAATGTGAACTTAAGCGGTTTAATCAACGTTATTCACCTGGTTGACCCCTGGCTCCGGGCAATCCGACGAGACCGGCTGGCCCGGCGTGTCCCTTCTCGCCCTTCGACCCCTGGGGACCCGTCGGCCCGTCTTTCCCCATGAGTCCGGGTTCGCCGCGAGAGCCTGGCGGCCCTGGTGGTCCCTGGGCTCCGCGGTCGCCCGGGAAGCCTCGCTCTCCGCGGGGGCCGCTCGGCCCCGCTTGTCCTGGTGGTCCCTGTAGGCCAGCTTCTCCGTCCTTTCCGGGCGCGCCTGGGTTTCCAGGCGTTCCAGGCAGTCCCTGCAAGGGAGATAGCTCTGAATGACAGAAAGCAACCAGATATATTCACTTCTTGAGGTGCATCAAAAACGCGCATTACCCATTGGGATGAAAACACGAATAATAACAATAATAATGATAGTAATTGAAAAACAAGTTTAAACAGAGAGTAAACGCTACACCCTGTGAACCTTCATAATCTTTGTCTGCTTTGTCTTAACTTGAGGACTAAAGGTCAGTAGAGGGAGGTGAAGTGACGTTACGTAATGTTGGGTCAATGCCAACGACAGTCTCAAGTATCGGCAGCTGCACAATTGAAGTTCCCTCCCAAAAAATCCACCTGCCAGGTGAATTTGGAACCAGGTGGCTGTCCCCATAGGCGTATTTCCACCTGTTGGAGCGATGTCCACCTAATTAAAAATTCACACGGCGGGGGAACCATCCACCTGACTCGAGAAACACGTGTGCGAATGATCAGGTGGATTTCTGTTGCAAATCCACCTCCTATCCACCTGGTCGTCCAGCCACGTGACATTTTTAACATTTTGTAAGGATTTCCCAGCAGTTGTTGGAAACAGGCATGGCATCGCCTTTCCGTGCAAAATTTACATTTATGTATTTTTAATTTATTCGTTATTTCTTATGTTCATATATACGAGATTAATACGAGAAACTTTTCACATCTGCACTAAAACTGAGCTGAGGAGCCTCACCTGAAATCCCCTTGATCCCGGCTGCCCAGGCTGTCCTCGTTCCCCATCTTGTCCAGGCGGTCCAGGAGGGCCCTGCGGTCCAGGCGACCCATCGGTCCCCGCATCGCCCCGCGGCCCCGGGGCACCCGGCGGACCCGGCTCCCCGTCTTTCCCCGGCAGTCCCTACTCGAAACGCCCCAACTCGTAGAGCCGAGAAAAACAGAGCCCCAAGAGAAGAAAAAGGGAGCACCCACAATCGGCCCCTTGTCCCCTCGCGGTCCCATCGGCCCCGGAAGGCCCTGCGGTCCCGCAAGTCCCTGATCACCCGGTTTCCCGTCCGCTCCTGGCAGACCCCGATCCCCGACTCGCCCCGTCTTTCCCTCGAGGCCGGGTCGTCCCGGCAGTCCCCTGAGTCCTTGAAGTCCTGGAGGTCCAGGGGTCCCTGGGTCACCCTGCCCACCCTTGAGCCCCATCGGACCCACTGGTCCCGGATCTCCCGTTTGTCCTAAAAGAAACAATGGCCGATTCGAGATATATCGTGTTCTCGTTACGGAACCTAACAAAATGTCCGCAATCAAACGCTTTGACTGTTTAACAATGCCATTTTAATTCTTTTCAGAAAATGTTTTTTATCGAGTCGAAGCACGATCCGGATTTAAGCCACGCATCATTTAAAAGCAAGATAACCATGTGTTCCTATGATCCTGGCGTACATAGCTTCTTGGAGGAGCTTGGATAGATAAGGGAGGAAAGAGAGGGAGAAGTCTTTCCCTTGACATTCCCCGAACGTTCTTTCGGGATGTTGAAGCCTTTATGGTTGTTGTACTGAAGCAATGGTTGAACAAAAATCTCCCTAAGTAATAAGCCTCCCCCTCAAAGTAATAAGCTTCCCCCATCAAGATAATAAGCTTCCCCCCCCTCAAAGTAATAAGCTTCCCCCATCAAGATAATAAGCTTCCCCCCCTCAAAGTAATAAGCTTCCCCCACGAAACGACCCAGATACCTTTAGGTCCTGGCGGTCCGTCTGGTCCCGGGAGTCCTCTTCCGCCTGGGGGTCCCCTCTCTCCCTGGACCCCTGGCGGCCCCATGGGACCTCTCATGCCTCTCTTTCCCGTTTTCCCGTCTTTGCCTGCTTCTCCAGGGAGACCTCTGGGGCCGATGGCTCCCGTTTCTCCCTTGATTCCCATGTCTCCCTTGAATCCTCGCTCTCCAGACAGACCCTATTAGCGAGAAGAAAAAAAACTCTGGAAATATTTCGGGTGGTCCGATAATTTTGCGTTCCGATTTGAAATTTCAGGCGTAACTGCTCGAAGCCCTCTAGGCCGAATAAAAAAAAAAGAAGCAATGTGAAGGACGCATCTCACCGGTGCACCCTTGGCCCCCATGGGCCCCGGGCTTCCAGTCTCCCCAGGCGCCCCCCGTGCACCGGGGAACCCTGGCGGTCCGGTCATCCCTGCAGCGCCGACGCTTCCCTTCTCCCCGGGGAGGCCGTCCTTCCCAGGCGGCCCTGGCGGTCCCTGATCCCCTGGCGTCCCGGGCTTCCCCGCCTCACCTATGTGGGACACGAGGAAAAATCTTCCAGTTTATTGCGCAGTTTGAAACGAAGAACTTATGCAGAATTGCTGAATGGGATATTAAATTTTTTTAAATTCATTTATTCTCGGTTTTTCTTCGTAATAATGCAATATATGATGCACAAAACTGTCAGTTTATGCAAGGTCATACCTCGCGGACCCTGAAGACCCTGGCTTCCCTTCGGACCCGGTGCTCCCATGTCTCCCTTGGCACCTGGGCTCCCTGGGAACCCAGGTGGACCGGGCTTCCCAATGGCCCCGGGCGGCCCCGGCGGCCCTGCTACCCCATCAAGACCCCGGAGTCCAGGCGGCCCGGGCGGACCATCTCGACCCCGCTCTCCTCTCGGCCCGGCTGGTCCCTACCCGCGAACGAGTTCTCAATTTGCAGATTTGCGAGTTTGCAAAAAATATATAAATAATTCGACACTCTTCCGAGTTGATAGAGGAACTCACAATCGCTCCTGTTGCACCCATCGGACCCGGAGGACCCGAAGCTCCCTGGAAAAGAACAAACAGGTCTTCAGGCATCGTTTGCAAAAAAAAAAGTAAAAGTACCATGCCATTTTGCCAATATTTTAGTAAATCAAGGCAAGCACTCAAAACCTTATTTTCAATATAATTAAAACCGCTTCACGTTATTTAATTGAGCCATTAAATTAAATAAATTGGAAATTCCTCTAATTAATTAAAGATATTAGTTATTAAACATTTTTAAAGCAAATTCGGTGAAGGAAATTCCCAGAGACCTTGACTCCCATCAATCCTTGTTCTCCCTTGGATCCGTCGAGTCCGGGGAATCCTCGGTGTCCTTTGGCGCCCGGAAGGCCGGGCATCCCAGGAAGGCCGCGAGGTCCTGGGGGTCCAGGTGGGCCCTCTGGGCCTGGTGTTCCGTCGTCTCCGCCTGCTCCCTGAAATTCCAGGATTTTGCCTTTCTTTGTTGCAAAAGGGTGGTGCTCAGATGCATTATGATTAGGGCCACGATCATGGGTAGCGATACAATTTTATCGAGCCATTAATAAATATTAGATATGGTGGCAAGTCAAGTTAAATATTGTGGGGGGCTATTTTAATCTTGTTGCTGTGCAGTAATAATGTAGAATTGTCAGCCGGCATCTTTGCCACGTGTTATTCGTAACATTCTGCTTCATTTTCATTCATGTGCAATTCTATAAAAGTGATTGGGAAAATTTTCCAGGCTAATGAGCTAATTCCTTTCTCCTAACTGCCCACGACCAACCGGGGGAGTGCGACACTGAGCATACAAACAAAAGACTTCGCCACCATTGAGTTAACTTACGATTATTATACAATTCACAATCATTGCAATGCACTGCCTAAAAGGTAGGTCCAATGCTCGCAAGTGCCTTCTCACGCTGTCGAAGCTAAACAAATTGCGTCACGCGATGCTGACCTAGCTGGCATCCAGCTTGATGATGCTGGAGCATCAGATGAAGTCTTTCAAGGCATCTGATTCAGGGCCGTCGGCCGACAGGATGCCAGAAAGAACCTGATCTCTTACAAATGTGGAACCATGAAGGCCATTTCTCCCCCGCCCACAATATACAACCCTGACACGTGGAGCCATCCCCCCTTCCCCCCTTCCCCCCTGCCCCCACCCCTGCCATCCCCCCATTTAAAGCTGACTGCAGAGCAGCTATCAAGGCCGAATGCCACCACGGAAAGCATTCCCCTTGGAGCATCTACATGTGACGGGAGCATGCACGCAGCGAGAAGTGCTAAGGGAGGGAGGGGGGAGGGGGGGAGGGGGCAAAGCTGCTCTATAAGAAGCTGCTCCGTAGTAAGTAATGCATGAGGAATCAAAGACTCTGATCTGTTATTACGATATATCTGCGCGATGCGAATAACAGCGAGGGGCTTCTTGAACTGTAATAAGGATTCCAGCTTTTTAATGCGCTGGGCAGTGTTATTCCAATCTGATTGGTCGTGGCTATAATTTCTTTCCTTTCTATTTCTTTCCTATTATTAACTCAGTACCCTGCTTCATGGTAAGCATTTTAAAATAAAAATTAAAGCAGGATATTAGCAAAATAATGCGATTTGGATGCAGGATGACAGTTACCCCGAGTGAATATTCCTGCAACAGTCATTGTGAAGGGGGGTTCAAATATTCACTTCATGCTTCAAATGTTCAATTTATACTTAATTCGTTGTTGAAGGTTAGAACTTGGGCTGTCCATTTTCTTCGGCCCATTTTTACGGTATGAAACAGTGTGGGGCCCTTTGTTCAGCCTTGTTGAGGAACAACACTGTTAAGGTCAACAATGTTAATGATCATTTTTCGCAGGCAATCGATGAATATTTTTCGCTGCGAGGAGCCACTCTTTCATGATTCTGCCTTGAAAACAGGCGGCTGATTTCAGGAAATCAGCAAGTTGCAATAGGAATTGGTCTCGAATGAAACTGGAATTTCTTTGATAACACAGTCAGTCATGGCAATTATATGACCCACATTATATAATTGACGATGGAGAGAAAAAAAAGTAATTTATGGAGGCTGCTGGCCATTCATAATAAATTTAAAGAAGTCGATACATTTTCTTACGATCAGAAAATTAAATATCGAAATTGCAAAAACCCGTTTCATACATCTTTGCCCGGTACTCCAGGAAGTCCTCGAGGTCCAGGTTGGCCCGGTGGGCCGACTGGGCCCGGGTCCCCGCCTTCTCCCCTGGTCCCCTGGAAGCCCTGAGGTCCTGGGGCCCCCTGGGGCCCCGGCGGCCCCCGGGGGCCGATCGGCCCCACCTGAGCCTGCAGATATGAGAAAGGATTCGGCCCCGGCCCCTTCTCTCCTCCTTGGGACGTCGACAGCTGGTTCACCCACGGGGCGATCTGGGAAAGGGAAATTTGACTGGAATCGAGGACGGTTTGCACATTTTGTTTTGCAAAATTTTAAAATAAAATTTTAAACATTTCCATTTTTATTTTAAATATTATTTGTTGAACATTCAGAAAAATTATGAGAAAAAAACAGCAAGAATTTAGAATTATTTTCTTGAATGTGGACTTTAGTGAAAAAACTGGAAAAATGGCACTTGGCCGCATCTGCGATCCTCAGGGATGATGGTTAAATTCGGCATTTCAATCGGAGAACGCCAATATTTTTGGCACTTTTTTTCAGAATTGAGTATCGAGAATGGCACCCGAGTGCATGCCAAACGGTTGGGTTGCCAAAATTTCCGCAGCTTCTGCAATCATTTGTCGAAGTTTTTGCACTTGAAGAACATCTTCAACCGCATTTCTGGAAAATGCTAAAGAAAAAATGTACTGCAGAAGTACTTCATTGACAATGCCATGATGACTAATCGATTTGCAATTGCCAATTCCCGGCTGTGACATACAATTTTGAATTAAATTGAATGCTCTCCGGAGCCTCTTGGGGTCTTTTCCCCTTCATTGCTCGAATTTCCTTGGTGAATTCCGTTTTGCCTTATTTCGTTGATTCACTGATTGATTGAGAACTCTTGAGGACTCGTCGCTTTTTTAAATGGCGTATCACAGCATGAACACCAGGTTCGAGGGATTGTTATGTGGCTTTGCGGAAGAAGTCCTGAAGAGGAGGGGGAAAATATTGATTGAATGGTACATACTCTTTCAATATGGATTTGTAAATTTATGGAAATTATGCTGCGTCTCTATTATGCGTTCCTGATGCTTATTGATTTGTTTTTGCGACTAATCATATCGGCGTCGAATTGACTTTCGGCGGGTTCTTGCCATTGCTCAAAAATCAAATGGGGGCGCTAAAACATTTCCTCTGTACAGCCAGAGCAATGTTAAAAATACTTTAAACATTTTGGAGGACACCTGAAGGGGACTGACATCGGGAGCAGGGCCAGGAGGCCCGGGTGGTCCAGGGATGCCGTGCACGCCGGGTGAGCCGGGTATGCCGGATTCGCCGGGACGCCCGGGTGGGCCGGGGTCGCCTTGCTGACCCTAGACAGGAGAAAGCAGGTCAGTGAGTCTTGGAGGTTGGGGTTGAGGTTGGGGTTTGGGGTTTTCTTCACCCTTGGTCCGGGGAATCCGAATGCGTCGACTTGGGAGCCGACGACTTCGCTCTCCGGTTGAGGCTTGGGCAAGGGAGCCTGAAGAAGAAATAACAAATTCTGCGTCATAAAAATTTGTAGAGAGAATGACTTTTAATTATTCTCGAGTCACTAACCGAGGAAGGTGGCAAGGACCGATCGGGTATCACTGGCTCTGCAAATGAAAAAATAAACATCTATTTATATCGTTCTTGCATCTCGGTTTCTGTTTGGTTTAAGTTTGTTTTTCGTTCCGTTCGGAACTGTTTTGCTCAAGGCCATCGTAGACTTATGAATCGAGGGGCTGCATTTGTTTATCATCACAAATCTTCGTACCAGCGCAGACGGGACAGCATTGCCCGAGTGGGATGTATTTGGTCGTGAGGCATTCGATATCGGGGCAAATGATGCCGCCGCAGGGATCGGGCGAGTCCGGATCGGGGCATCCAGCGGTGCTGCATTCGACATTGCCTGCCACGCATCGACAGGTCGTGCAGTCGTCCGGATTCCACTCGTCTCCGTCGACGTACGTCCGGCCCTCGAACGTGCAGCTCCGCTCGGGGTACACGAGGCTCTCGCCTGCGGGGAGGGAGCACGCGATTGGCTGACAGCGGGTTCTGGGATGGGGAAGCGGCACGGGATTGGTTCGATGGGGACGGCAAGGAGGGAGGGCATTGGCGGAAAGTGTTTCCCGGGAACGGAGGTTGTCGAGGCCAGGCTGTGTCCGCTCGAATACCCACGATCCCAGTCTCCAATTAATTCCTTCCCATTTCTCGAAATATATATATATTTTTACACCCATGCTATTTTGGAATAAATTTACCACTTGGGAAAATTTTTAATGTTCTGAAAGAAACCACTAGGAGATGAGTTTCCGCCTGTAGTGAGAGCATTTTCATCCATAACACATGCATTGCACATACGACACATGCAAGAAAAAACGCCTCTCCATGAAAGGCCCGGGGTCCTTGATGGAGGAAGAGATCTACAGTATGCCTCAAGGAGCATGAAAAAATACGTGCCCTCGTGACACTTAGCAGAAGCCCCCCCGAGCCTGACACGAGTATGGTGGAAAACCGTTTCCCTCACCTTCGACGGGAACGGGAGCAGCAGTCACCCCCGGCTCCCCCTCCTCCTCGTAGGTGTAATCCTCCTTGTCGTACTCGTCGTAAGTGTCGAGGATGTCTTCGTAGCTGATCGCCGTGTCCCCCTGGGCTTGGGCCCCCTGGCCTTGGGCCTTCGCCCGCGCCCGCGGCGCCTTCGCCTTCGGCTTCGCCTCGGTCGACTTCGCCGTCAACGCCAGGACCAAGGCGAGGACGGCCAACGCTTTCCAGCTCGAGGGCCTCATGTTGGCCTCAGAGTGCGCCTATCTGCGGCGGCTCCACGCCTTGGAACCGACCGCCCCCTCGCTGCACGCTCTGGGATGCAACGAGGGAAAAATATCGATGATAAAGCATGCGATCAGAACGCAGTTGAAACTAATTAATTGAAATTTGGACGCGAAAAATGCATGGTAGATGAAATATAAAAAATCAACTTGAGATATTTTCACATATCAGCCGTTTGCGACATTAATGACAACGTTATCCAGTTGATCATGAACGGAACATTCCAATGGAACAATCTGAAAATCGAATCGCCGACTGATCGAGAAAAACAGAAGCAACGTGAACTTCGAAGTCACCCCGCCAAAGTGTGTCTCTGTTTAAGGCGGTTCAATCGCGCGCGTGCCCCCTCGCGCGAACTTCTGCGTGACTCGAAGAGAGAACCGCATTGGAAAAAATAAAGAGAATATATATCCAGTTCTTACGACGGACTCATTCACGATCCACGGGGAGGAAACCACCGAAGTATCACGAATCGACCGAGTCGATCGAATCGAGTCATTTGCATCAGTGAACTCAAAGAGTGCCAGTTTCCCCCCCCCCCTTTCTACGGGTTCCGTTTAATCAGAAACTGACCGTAATTTCAGGTAAGATGGCATGAGAAAGGAAACGCGAATTTATGGTTTTTCTAGTATAACGTTAAATTTAACATCACTGCTATCGAGAATAATGTAATACCACAAAAGAAAGGCCAAATCAGAAAACAAGTAGTTACAAAAAATTTAAAACGTGGGTATACCCGCAGTTGAATCAAACATACCTTCATCTCGAGACAAATATATATATATATATATATATATATATATATCAACCATTGTGCGTCTCGAAATCAAGGGAGAAAAAGTTACAGTCCACTTTTGCAGCACGCACCTGATGGGATCCAGCCGAAGAAAACAGAAGAGAAACAACAACAAAAAATTTTCCGGTCCTCCCTCTATCTCTTTCCCACTTCCTGGTTCCGATTCCAAATGTTTTTTTTTTTCTTTCCCATCTTTCATATAATCAGTCCCAGCATTTCCAGAATTTGATCGCGATGAGAAATTGCAAGCCCTTGCGGGTCGCGCCGACTCTTCCTTTTCGGGCGGGGGGCCCGGACGGACTGCGCTGTATTGTACTCGTCTCAGTCCGAGGGGACATTTCGGCGTGAAAAATTTTTCCGCGACATCGTGATGGTCTAGAAACGATTGATGGGTCGATGCATCGATCTCTCGTGACTTTATAGTTATTACTATAGCTATTATACTTTATAGTTATTAGGAAAAACATAGGCCTGCACACTTGCCTCTTTTTTGTTATTTCAAAATAATTTATTACTTAAAAAATTTAATTAGCGATTTTCCCGCGACATTACGAGTAGGAATCAAGCATATTGCATTAAATTAAATCTTCACATAATGCGAATTATGACTGTTCTTAGTCTCATAAATCTGACATTTTAAATATTTTATTTGAATTTTTGATGGATTTTCCCTTGGAGTTTCCTAGATTTATAGAGTTTTTCTTCGCTTTCTTCCCTTTTCATTTAATTTTGATCCCTAAAACTCCCAAATTCCGAGGAAAAAGGCAAAGTAAAGGCCAAAGTTCCCCTTCCCCTCCTCAGTACCTGTCTTGTCCCCCCGGGGGGCGCGTCCGTCCCAGTTCGCGCATCGCCGCATTAGAGCGCGGAAAATTAAAATGTATAAAATTAAATGACGGAAAATTAAAGCTCATGACAAAAATAAAACTCTGTTTCGTAGAAACAGCTGGAAAAAGCACATTTTTCACCAGAACCCTCCCTCCAACGCACGCGCATAACCTCCCCGCAAAAAAATAGCACGAAAATACCACAGAAAATGATGATCGTCCAAAGAATCTCCTCACCGGAGTCGTGAGAAATCCCGTAGGAAGCGAGCGACGGTGAGCCACCGCTCTCACCCTCACTGGCGTCGGGTGTGAAGATGAGAACCACAGACCTCCTCTCTTCCCTTAATTCAGGTCTGAAAGGGTTAAATGGCTCATTTTCGGCGACAGAAATACGCGGAATCACGAAGGAGCGTCCACTATTGAACTGCTCTGCAAAGGACATCCGTAGTCCCCACCCCCCCCCCCTTCCCCTTCCCCCCCCCCCCCCCCCCCCCCCCCCCCCCCCTTCACCAAGTAGGACGGGGGACACGAGATCTTATAAACAATCCTTGAAACGCCTCCCTCCCCTTCGAGGCGACGAGTTGGGGAACACGAAACATGTATTCCTTCCGACCCTGTAGGCGTCTCGTGCTGACAGCCCCGCTGAGGACGGAAGCAGTTATTTCTTATCCTGAGAAAAATATTTGGGCCGTGTTTCAGGTGTCTTTAATGGAATCACTCGGAAGGATTCCGTCCATTGCGTGTTTGGGGGAGGATGAAACAAACAAACCTAAGCCTCCTTCCCAAATGAACTTGAGAAAAGATTATCGGCAAAATACAAGCCGTGGATGGTAATCATTGTCCGTTATCCGGCGTGCTTGTGATCGTTCGCTCTTGGATTACAGGATCATTCTCCAGGAATCGACGGGGCGGACATCAAAGAGGTTTCCCGCTCTAGCCTCGAAGGATTTCAAAGGGGAACGAAGTCAAAATTTCCTGGAAATCGAGACCAAGGGCTCATCCGCCTGCATCCGTGCGTCCAGGCTGCTCCGATTCAGAGGCCATGAATTTCTCAGCCGGGTGAGGTTCAAGTCGAAGACTGAAAGTGATTCGATCCAGCTTCAACGAGTCGCCAGGCCGTGAAATGACCTTGAATCTATCACGATACGATGGCGGGCAACAGTTGGATGCTCCCAGGCCCGTGGATATCGGCTCTTGGGACATCGGTAGTCGAATCAATTCCGCAACGAATGCCATACGGAGATTTCGTTCAGCAGAAAAAAAAATTGTTTTCCCAGATCATCCGGCATTTCCTCTCTTGCACTGTTGCGAAGGTCGTTGCACTCAGGATACAGATTTAGATGTAATCCGAGTCACCAAGATGATCTGTTGTGCATCATACGAATGTGGGCCAGTTGTAAGAATCTATCGGTGGGCCATCGACGATACATTCGCCGCGCCTTTTCCCAAACTGGCGATTTATTCTTTTATTTTCTGCGCAGTTTTTGTTCCACAACTGCAGCGTTGTAGAAAGTGCGGCAAGACGCAGTCGTGGTATCCAGTTTTTCTGCATAAATAATTTATCAAAAATATTTTTAAAAAAACAAGAGAGGCAATCACCTCCTCGTACCAGAACAAACCGGCGAGGAGTTCCTATTTAGTCTATGAGCGAGTTTCACGCCAAATCACGGGGCATCAAGACTCATTCAATGGCAATTCATCAATCCTCGATGGTAATTCGCCAACCTTTCTTGTTGACAGGAGCGGAAGGACCAGGGCACCACCGCCATTACATAACGAGGAAGTGAATGAAGTGGCTCGGCTGGCGCAAGAAATAACAGCAGATAATGAGGATTGGATTTCGTAATTTTACGATTCCGTAGTTTTAGGTAGCGATCAACAGATTTCGCTGGTGTAGGAGCCAAAGCTTTTCCCCACTTATTCACGACCGTGAAGAGGGAACTCGACTGTTCTAAGATCATTCGCTTCTATTGGAACATCGGCAGTCATGTTCTGCGCTTAAATATTTCTGTGCAACATTCTATAACGAAGGAAGTCAAGGAACTGGTCAGGGAATTTGTTGGCTAGGGATCCGCCGCGACGTGTTGGCACCATACAATATGGCGCAGGAATGCTACAATGGAACCTAAGGATTACTGTGAACAACCACTTTATTGAATTTTTGTAGTAGCCATGGTGCTGCCGTCTTAGTTGGAGGCACTGGTCAAGGAAAACCATATGGTAAGGACCGTGAACATTTCCAAAATTCACGTGAAATCGATGTGCCTCGATTCCTCATGTGAAACATGCGCTGATGCAATAATGATCTCTTGTCGAGGTAAACTCTTATCTCTGAGAGTTTGATAGTACTGTATCAAGAACTGACATTCCGTGTTTGATTCCATGTTATGCTGCATCTCCCTTTATTGAATCAGAATCCTGAACAAGTTGCCGAATGACAAACGTATTTCCTTCGCATTTTTTTAAAACAAATCTTGGCAGGAAATCGTAAGAAACACTTTTCCGGGGGCTTGGCCTGCTTTGTAGGAAAGATACAGTCTGAAAAATACGAGACTCCAGATGATAGCATGGGGACAAAATGTCTGCGGTCAGACGCCATCTCGCGTCGGTTTGAAGAACCTATTTCTTGGTCAGACGATATCATCTATATTGTAAAATCTAATGTAGTCCGTGGTGGTGGTCGGTGGCATGCGCGCGCACACGACGCACGCGTGCGCACACAATATACGCGCGCGCACCAAGGACCCACGCGTGCGCACAAGGCAATCGCGTGAACTCTTCTATTGCCATAGTAACAGGTACAGCAGCATGGCTGAAAGTCACTAACGTTCAGAAACGTGGGCGGTGGGTTGCGATGTGCGCAGCGTGAGGCCGCTAATAAACCCTCACATACCACATTGTCCTACAAAGCGACGATTTAAGATAATACCTTGATCTTTGGGTTACCCTACATCTTCCCTCGGCGTCAGTGGCATGTGTGTCTTGCACTGCGAGAAGTCACAGAAATTGTTTTTGCACCAAGTGTTGATTCATGTGGATTGCAGACCTTGAAGCTCGGATATCCGCGTTTTTTGAGCTGTTTCTTCTCTGCTTTGGACCTCGATATGTCAACCCGAACATGCACTTCATCATTCACTATCCACGTCTGATGGAGCAGCTGGGACCTTTGAGAAGTTTTGGGGCAATGCAATTTGAAGCTTTTCACCTGTTTCACAATAAGGTTGCTAATACAGTGAGGGACAAAACTGTGTCAATGTTTGACACAGTTCCAGTTGATGACTCATAACTCGAGTATGACGTGTTCAATTTAACTTAAATTTCAATCATATTCCTACTTCCTGGCTTTCGATTGGTGCTAGTCGTGTGTCAACTAATGGATGAGCTGCAGCTGTTCAAAGTCAACCATGTCATTGACACCGTTTTGTCCCTCACACTCGGACATACAGAAACCTGAATTTATTAATACTCTGTGTATTCGTCTTCGGCCTTCAACACTACCAGTACCCTTCTAGACATGCTCTCGATCAAGTCCAAGCATATTTCAACGGGAGTGGCGTCCCACTCAGTTGTGACCCGCCGCCGCAACTCGCGGATGCTGATTGGCTCATTTTCGTACACAAATAAGTATTCACTTCAAGTCTTGCTGCAAATGTTCTATTGGGTTGATGTCTGGTAACTACTGGCCATTCTAGGACCTCGATTCTATGGTCCTGGAAGCATTGGTTAGCCACACGCGAGTTTTATTTCGGGTACGGCTAAAACACCACCTCTCTCACTTCCAGCTGGTCGAGCTCAACTGTCTGGAGCAATTCGTCCTCGATTATGCTTGTATACACTTTGGCATATATTCTTCCTTGTGTTTGACATCCATATACGACTCCCTTGGCTGTCATGCTGCCCCAAAACATCAGGCTGCCTTCACCATACTTGCGAGGCCTCTCTGACATGCCACGCTGTTTCCTCATGCCCATCCGACTTCACTAGGTTGATTTTGTTCTCGTCTGACCAAATTATACGTTTCCAGTACTATATGGTCTATTATTTGTGACGGCAGGAGAATTCCACAAGCTGTCGAGGCCATAGCATTAGGCATTGTATTGATACTTGCTGGTTCCCCACCAGCAAGTACAGCAAGTACAGTTC